GTAGAATAAAATACGAGACATAACCCATTTAAATAAGTAGTTAAATGATTTCACATCATTAGACGCTCTGGCATTCAATCTAAGCGCCGCGTCGTGCAACGTCAGTCTTCTCCCCTCCCCACAAAGCGTCCTACCCCCTACTCTTTGCACTTTCGGCGTTCTCGCGGGCAGATGTTCGGCTCGTAAGTGCAGAATGCCCGCCTGCAAAACTAAATACTCATGTCAAATGCTACCAGCAACACACTTGGTAGTATTTTTTGAATCTATATCGTTAAATAACTCCTAAGCGAAGCATTCTAGGGAATTAAAAACCCAGGTCTCAAAGAAATGTTTATCGCAACGTAATCTACAGGGTGAGATATTTTTCAACATTCTTCGAGTATTACATTTTTGGCGGGGGTGGGGAGGGAAGGCGGAAAGAGTTGGTGATGAAGGGAGACGAAGAGAGAGGGGGAAAAGTAGAGAGAGAAAGGGAGATGAAGGGCAGAACAACGTCTGTTGGGTTCCGTTAGTTTAGTAACAAGTTCCTTTAAGAAATGCTGCTAAAAAACTATGTCGATGTTTTTGACAAAATACACGATTAGGGAATATCGGGGACTTAAAAAGGGAGGTTGCTTTATTTTACAATTATGTATTCGTCTGTTTGTAAATAACACTGGTGCTCAAATCATACATAGAATTTTCTCCAAAACTGATATTTTCCGATAGAGTTGGCCTCACACAAGGCTCTGCTTAGTTGAAACAAATCTTTCAATTTTTGGGGTGCTTTGGAATTAAGAAGCAAATGTGACATTTTAAAACTTTTCTCAAAAATAGCTCCATTTTCATTTAATTTACAATATGCTTTTCCGTTGTGTAATATAAATAATAATATAAATAGCCATTTTAAATAATAAGCAAGTTCGTCATAAATATTATGTCGTGTTGTAAAATCACAAATTTTATTTATTTAATGACAAAAAACAAATATTGCGTGTCTTGGAGAGAAAGACAATTCAGAAATGTCCAAAAGCAAAGCAAGTATCACCTCAGTATTGTCTCATTGCTTCGAAGGAAAATAGACAAAAATTCGGAGAAAATAATTGTTACAGAAGTAGGACTTATCATTAACACTGTTATTGACACAATTTTTAACAATAACACTTTTTGAGATAGACCTTGTTAACAATAAATTGTAGTGTTTACAGTGCTTGTAAGGTTATTCCAAAATTCTAGTTCAGTTAATCAAACTCACTGTTATCGAAAACGAAATATAAGATCACCAGTCATGTGCTAACCTGAAAGTGAAAACATTTTAAAGGAATTCCTGCGAGAATGTAACCTAAGATATCACTCTACACGTGTAGAAGCAAAGTAGGTCCTCACGTACAAGGAAATTCCCCTGCGTCAGACGAAACTCGCACCCACATTTGATTCCCAGAGTGCGCGGTATCTACACTTATTTCTTCAGGGCTTTTCTTACCTTCATTTTGTTTCATTAGGGGTTTAGCTTTTGTCTTCGGTATAACTCACGGCTACTCTCCCTTCATTTATCGTAATTGTTGTTGCGGAAACTTTGTACCTGTCTTTTAGTGATCGCAGTGAGCGCAACTAAATATTACAAGATGTTAATCAATATCTGGCCTTGACTCGAAGTAATACCTGCATCACTCCTTTAATCTGCACTGGAAGAGAAAGGACTGAAATATTTTTATAAAATGTATAATCTCCTTATTTAGCACGTATAATTCATACATATTATAGGCCTCTTCGGTTTATCCGCCTTAACTGGGACAATTTCAATGCGAAAATGTATGAATTATCTTGATAAGATCATTCGTCTACTTTTAAACTGGTCTAGTGTTTTTGAGGGTTCGTCGTTTGTCATATTTGATTTATTTTGAAGAAGTGAAGTGTCTTCATTTGGAATTTCCTTTGCAGCAGCATGGAAATTCAATCACATGACAGGCTTGGCGAATAAAAAACAGTGACGCCTACGTACAAGGTTGGTTTCAAAACAATGCGTCACAACATGTAAAAAATATTACCACATTACAATGCAAAAACGTTCATCACGTAATGCACGTGATTTCATTGCGAACTATTTGCTTCCAGAGAGTACTTTTCAATTTAAGTCTTATTCGCTTACTGATTGGCGGGTTGCCTACTAAACAGGCGTCCGAAAATACGCCGATCATTGATTTGGGGAGAACTTGTTTAATTTTTTCTGCATATTTCCCCACGAATAAACAAGGTACGAGAGAACATGAGAAAGAAATCATGTTCACGACGAATATGGAAGTATCGTGGTTGCTGATAAATGAAAAATATTTCGTAACCTTTGTAACGTGAACATTCTAGAATCCAGATGAGAGTCAATGTATGTAAAGAAACGTGAACTGACTCCCAGGCCTCACAGTCAGTTGCAAGAAATTACAGTGGACGTATACGAAATGTCCATGAAGCATAAGGTTTTATTCATCAAAATCAATGTTGAAGGCAATTGCGAACAACCATGTTTATGGTTCCTCGCGATTATTCTATAATTACTTCATTTTACCAAGAAAATCTTATCGGTTTTTAATATTTAGCATGAAAACATATTGATGAAATTGATGAACTTATTTCTAATTCCATATATTTCCTGATGAACTAGTATTTAAAATAATAGGTAAATAGAAATACTATGAACAATGTGAAAAGAAGAGCATCTCATATTATACATACGAGAGGTATTGAAAAAATACGCGCACTGGCGTCATAAAACAAAATATACGTTATTAATAAGTTACATGTCTTGGTCCCCTTCAAAGTATTCTCTCCCAAAACACACACTTATCCCAACGGTGTTTCCACTTGTTGAAATATTCTTGGTACACATCTTTTGTAATGAACTTTAGCTCCTTTGTCGCATTTGCCTTAATCACAGGAATCGTCTCAAATCTTCTTCCCTTCAAGGGTCCTTTGAGTTTGGGAAACAAGAAAAAGTCATAAGGTGCAAGGTCAGGTACGTAGAGGAGAACAGTGATATGGCCCAAAACTCACGAATTCTGAGCGCTGATTGCGCTAGAGCGTGATCGTGATGGAAAAAACAGACGCCACCCCTCCACATTTCTGACCTTCTGCGGCAGATGAAGTCTCTGAGACGTTTTATAACTTCAATGTAGAAATTCCGACTCACTGTGGAGTTTTCGGGGAGATACTCGTGTTGAACAACATCCCTAGCATAAAAAACTGTCGGCATCACTCTGAACTTGGAACATGGCGAAATTTTTTGGACCTGGGGGGACGTTTCACTCATCTACTGGGACGATTGGACCTTTCTTTCAATATAACCATAAACCCACGATTCATTACCTGTTATAATCTTTGACAATAAATGTTTATCTTCTTCTGAATGATCAAGCAGTTCCTGACAAAGCTGGGCACTATGAATTTTTTGTATCTCCGTCATCAGGCGGACACAAATTTTGCAGCAAAGTGATTCATCTTCAATTTTTCGTTCAAAATCTCGTGACAAGATCCAACTGATGTCCCACACTGTTCAACAAGCTGCCTGACAGTCAGACATCGATTTTCCCGCGCCAGGTGTTGATTTTGTTGACGTGTGAGTCGTCAGTTGACGTAGAAGGACGTAATTAATTATTAAGAAATGTTTATTTTCTTCCGAATCATCAAGTAGTTCCTGTCAAAGCTGGACACTACGAACTTTTTGTATCTCCGTCATCAGGCGGACACAAATTTCGCAGCAAAGTGATGCATCTTCAATTTCTCGGTCAAAACCTTGTGATAAGCTCCAGGTGATATCCCACCCTCCTGAGAAAGCTCCAAGACAGTCAGACGTTGATATTCCCGCACCAGGTAATGATTTTGTCGACGTGTGGGTCATTAGTTGACGTAGAAGGACGTTCAGGACGCTCATCAACTCCAATGCACTGTCGACCATCTTAAAAAAGGTTCATGCCTCTTGAATCATGCCATACCACTACAGCAGCACCTCTGCAAGCTGTGAAGCCTAGCAAAAGTGTCTGTCTCGAATTTTCGAAGTTAACACAAAATTTCACTGCAAGTCGATGCTCCTTCAGGATTTCTGAAATCCCCCAAAACGAAAAAATCGCATTTCACCAAAAACCCATTTAGCTAAGTTTGACCATATTGAACAAGCGTATGATATTAGTTAATGAAGATATCTGAAATTACGAAAAGGCATCATATTCCGCTGATCTGTACAAATCTGGCGACATCAAACGAATTCCCCTGGTATCAACTGGAGTTGCGCAATTCAAACAGATCGTGTGTTTTTTTTAACAGTCTAAGTATTATTATTATCGCAAAATCAATGATAGCCTGCAGAAGAAAAACATGACACTCAGTACTGTCTAATTTATTACTTATTCAGTATACATTGATTATTTACAGAGGATATAATATCATTGATAAATGTATTCTTTTCCTATTACAGTCTTAATATGTAACTTGTAATATAGGGTATTATGGCTTAAGAGAGTAATATAAATTATTTACGAATGGAATGGTCTGGCTTCCTCTCTTCCTATCGTCGCGACGATGTCTCTTTCGAAACGAAATTATATCTTACTTACGAAATTATATCGCAGCCGACGTGTCGCCTGAGATATAATATTTCGGGTGAATAAAATATTTTTTCTTGAGTGCCTTACATTATTTTATTTATTAACATAATGAAAATGGATGTTGGAAAGTTTAAATTAAACATTTTTAAATATCAAAATTGAAGTATCCGAAGGTAGAGCACAATTTTCGTAATATTAAGGAGATTGTTGTTAAGACCTGACGATTTGTCTGGTTTAGCAGATAGTTTTGTTAAATCCGGTGTAGAAAACCTTTATATTTACAAAATCTGTTTAACTAAAACGACTTTATCTGTTGTGATTATGATCCATTAACACGTGAGTTGTTAAATATGAATGCGTTGGTGATTAAATAGTAATGGCTGAAATATGCGTCATTTAGTTAAATAATGTTAGTATTATTTCATCTGTATGCAGGTATGAGTTTTTTTTATTTATTTCTCTATAATCTCTTTCACTATATTTCACTTGTTTTTCCGTCACATTTTCTCATTTTATTTTCGTAGTACGCTTGATCATTTAACTCCCAGGCGAAAGCGTAGCCATAGTCTGACAATGAATTAGAAGCTATCGTAACCCTTAGCTGAATACTTGGCATCTGCCTCGAGGTCCGCTGCACGGAGTAAAGGGCTCTATGCAATTAAACATATTTATGGTCATATCAGTTTTTAATGTATTATTTTCTAACATTCACTACACCATATACCTTCTCGTGCCAGTTTTTCGTTCAGTTCCTCTCGATCCATTGAGCAAACGTTGAAACGGTGCCTTGCTTTGTTTTGAACATAACGTTGTTTTTCTTCAGGTATAGTTTTGACTCTGATGTCAAATACATATATAAATATATAAATTGCAACTTTCTTAACTTAATATCAACTTTATATTCAGTGTCCATTGCTAATTGATGCAACAAATTCTTATTAACAAGATACAACTTTTTGATTTGGTTGTCCCTTATTATAATGTATATTTTTTTGTATATTTGTTTTGTCTTTTTTTTAATTTTTGGCAGCCATGATTAAATATATCTAAATTCGGTTGTGTCATTTATTTCATAATTTCATTCAAGTGAAAAAATTGTAAAAATTATAAAATAAATTCCTATAAAAATAATTTTAAAAAACCCTTATCTTAATGAATGAAACTCTTAATGAATCATGTGATGTCTAATGATGCGCGTGTCTGTGTGTCGCAGCTGTTCGACCGGCTGAAGGCCGAGAAGGGCCCGGGCGTGCTGCGCAAGGTGGTGGGCGTGGCCGGCGACGTGGCCCTGCCCGACCTGGGTCTGTCGGCCGGCGACCGCCAGCTGCTGCGCGACCGCGTCAACATCGTGGTGCACGCGGCCGCCACCATCCGCTTCGACGAGTCGCTCAAGAAGGCCGTGCTGCTCAACACGCGCGGCGTCAAGCTCATGCTGCAGCTCGCCGCCGAGATGAAGAACCTGGAGGTGCGTGGCCGCCATTTGCTTCGCCTTTCGCCGTGACAACTGCCGCGCGGGGAGGGTTTTTCCGTGGGGGTGTAGTGTCCAGCCGACTTGATGTTTTTAATTTATACTTAATTTAAAATGTATTTGTTTATTTATAGTTATAACGTACTTAATTCAGATACAGAACGTAACGTTACGAAAGAAAATTAATAAACTAGTGGTGCCACGGCATGTTACAGACTTTTCGAACTAGTTAGTTTCATTATCTTCTTAATCTGTGCTGTCTTTTCGGTTTTGCCCCACCCTTTTCTCAGCTGCCATCTTATTGGCGCCTAAAAGAGACTGCCCATGTCCATAGCGCTTCCCCGATGGAGCCAGTGGCGGATCAAGGGAGGACAAACGTTTTTTATTTCAATCCATTCATTCAATTCACCACCTAGTACTCATCGTATTATATTTAAAGGAGCACTCAATGACAAATGTACTTTTTAATGACAAGCTAACAAATAATTGCATGAATAAAGATGTGGATTGTACTAATAATGGATAGACTCAGCATATAAACAATGCAGGCAGTATGAACACTTCCTCAGCCCACTCAATAAAAAGATCATTGAGTAAAATGGCATTTTACTCTTCAGCATTTACAATTAAGTACTGATTAAGAAACTACAATCTCGTTAATATATTGCTCTCATTATACTTCCTTCTGAAGAGTTCAACTGTATGAACTTCAACTTGGAACAGTAAATTTGTTGGTGCACTTACATGGCGCACAATTCTTAACCATTTTATTTCATGTATATTTTCATACAGTGAAATAATATACACACCGAAAAGAACGTATCGTTTTCTTCACAACTAACTGGCGTCTGGCACAGTCGCAACGATGTTCACAAGGTAGGCTGACGCACGTTTCTTCTGCAATGGCGGTCTTCAAATTTTTCGGGGACAGCAGCTCTCTCAGCGAATCGAGTTTATTTCTATACCTACGCCGTTGGTTAACTGTAACATTACAATGCTTGGTGCTAACGCTAAATAATAATTGTTGTTAATTCATAAATTGAAATTGTATCGTGCTCGGCTGCTAAACGCCTTCGGGCCAAGTAGAAATAAATTTAAAAAAAGAAACCGAAATTCCCTTCAAATACCAAATATAATATTAAATATTGATTTATTTAATTACAAATATTATGTTATTTCAATAATTACAGGTTGCAGTTTATGTACTGTCTTTATCACTTGATAATCTTACCTAAATGTTCTTGTAGTTTTAATTGTTTAAAAAATATAAAATATTAGCAGTTGAACAGGAAGTATGTTGGGAGTCCCACCAATTATGGACCACCCCCATAACTTCCAAACACTTCACAAATGCAGTTTGGGCTCAACAGTGCGTAATCATAGAACAAGTTATTTTCTGTAATGATTTTGTTTGAAATATTTTTACTTTTCAAGAAATTTAATCATCTTTAAATTTTTAAATAAAACCATGTATTTTTCTCACTTTATAGATCATAAAAAGAGGAATGCAATGATATATCATAATATTTTTACAATATTTTGAGTATAAAATCAGACTTTCTGATGTGTGATGAGCAATATTTCCTATAACAACCCTTGCAACTGTCGCCTTTGGGATAGGTGGCTTTTGCGACACTACAGGGAGAGAGGAGAAGCTGCAAAGGCCACATCCCCAAAGGAAAATTGCACGTTTATTTAAAATCACATGTCAGATACTCTAATTTTACACTCAAATTACTATCAAAATTAAAACGTATGATACATAAATGTATTTCACTTTTTTTGATCTATCAATTGTTGGAGAGAGAAAATATTGAATTCCATTTAAAAAATTAAAGATGATTAAATTTCTATAAAACTAAAGGTATCAAACAATATCTCTATAGTATATTACTAGCTCCATGATTTCGCATTGTTGAGCCATAACTGCATTTCAATATTATGAAACATTTAGAAGTTATGGGTGTAGCCCATAGTTGGTGGGACATCTTGTATATATTTTTTTAAACACCAAATCAATAAAACTAAAGTTTTTATTGTTGATATAAACACATTAAATGAGTAGCTGTTGATTAACGTATAAAATGAAATTCAAAATGACTCTGGGGCTGTCGTAGATAAAATATAGAATGACACACTTTTGATTAAGCATTAAAATGAAACTCATATTGCTTTAGCATTGGCTTTTGCATCAAACACCTCTTGATGCAAATAAGATACATAGTTCATTATGGCGTCCATATCAATCTTGTCTTATTAATAACTATTTTGACTAATGCAACCCTCAATTTCATGACTGTATAATAACTGTAATAAAACTGTAAATAAGTACTATTTCTCTCCCTTACAACACACAGTTTTTACTGTTTTTTAACTAAATAAAACAAACCTCATTGGTACGCTATGGTTCACACTTCTCCGGCCAAACCACAAGTTAGAGCAAGTAGATCTATATGCTTGCTATTGTTTACATGGGAAGAAAATGTCTTTCACTGCTGCTATTTAACAAAAAATATGGAAACAATTGATTGTATTTGTAATAACTGGTACTCAAGGATGTAGTCAGGATCATTGGATTATAATAATCTCTGGTCAGAATTCTCATCAGTGAGAGGAAAGCAAAAGAAAAATAAGGGTTTTTATTATTCGTAAAATAATAATATAATAATGAAATAAATGATAATGAACCACTGTTTTAAATATATAAAATGAATAAATAATTACAAATCGGTTCCATTCAAATTATCTTTTACACACAGCTAAAGTTATTGTTATTATGAAATTGATGAAAAAGAGCTTTTAGTTTCTTAAAATCAAAGAATTATTACAAGAAATTAATTCATGAGATCAATAATCAAACGATCAAAGAATCAGTATTTTATAAAGAATTAAAAACATCCTATTTTCATTTTTTTATAACATTAAATTTTTACAAGCAAAACACGAACTAAAACATCTTGGAATATAATTCAAAAGACAAATTTTTTATCAAACACGAGAGAGCCAATGGATTTTCTGAAAATAATATTTTCAAGGTTTCAATTTTATATTCTTCCTTACTTTCTGAAACAAGTATCCTATGCTGATACTGATGTTAATTGAGTGATGATGCATTACAATAAAAGAAAAATCTCACTGAAAAAGTACTGCTTTCAAAAAATCCACTTCCAAAATTATTTGATATTCCGTTATTCTACTAGTATGCATTACTCATTACAAAACAATCTCATGCCATAACATTGGGGTTATCAACAATTAGTGAATACCATTTTGGGCTGATAGTTTCCATATCTTCTATTTCTTGAGTTCTCTTATCTACCAAACAAACTAAAGTATTATAGTGCACAATATTTAATTTTAATTCAATTATGATATTTATTACAACAGTTTATCAGATCATAAGAGTCAAAATCAGGCAGCATTATTGTCAGAAAAGGCATTCGATCTTGATAAATTGATGACTTACACTGTATATTATATTTTAAAACAGTAGTAACATTTAAGAAGTAAATATTCTTGTGGCAGCATGAGGAGTAAACATATCATATTAGTACGAATATTCAAAATTTAATTGATTCGACCTTTTAAAACATAATTCCACAAAAATCTGATTCAAAGTGTTGACACAATTTTGTTTTGCCAAGACAAAAACATTGAAATTATAGATTTACAATATTTTTTGGGCTATAATTTATAAAATTAGTTTGTTTTAATATTTGAACTGATCACAACAATAAGTTGTAGCCCTTCATTTCTCTCTATAACTTCATGATTGTCTTCCAAGTTTGAAAATCATACTTTTTTTTTCATATCTGTTACTTGAAAGACAATTCACCATTTTACATTAATAATACTTTTTAAATTGAAGGGTTGTCAATTGGTAAAAGTAAATAACAAAAAGTATTCAAAAGCAAATGTGATTAATTTAGGACTTAATTAAATAAATTATAAACTTCTGAACTTTGAGTGCACTTGCATAAAAATGATAATTTTAAGAGATGATTTTGTGTTACAGGCATTTCTTCACATATCAACAGCTTATTGCCACTTAAAAGAGAAGGTTCTTTATGAGAAGCCATATCCACCACCTGCTGATCCACATTCCATCATTTATCTTGTGGAAAATACACCAGAGGATGTCTTAGAATCCATGACTAAAAAGTAATTCTGAAAATAAAAGGTTTAATATTTAGTAATCCAAATATATTATTTGAAAATCCAATGTTTTCTTGCAAGAAAGTTATCAGTTTACAAAAATATATTTTTCTAAAAATCAAATTCCCAAAATTCTTTTCCAAGTTCACAAAACAACATCATAAAATTTTATGGATTATATTAACTGAATTGTAACCTTAAAATCCTTAAGTGTATACTTAGAAACGGAAAAAGGGAACTTGCAAACAACAATGAATAAAAGGCACATTTCTACATGTATAACTGCATAAGAATATTTAACTTTCAAATTAAATAAATACAAACTTAACTTTAATGTAATAATTTTCCCTAATTACTTTTCAAATATAACAGAGGTCAGTTTGGATATACAAATTTTTAATTTACAAAGCTGAACAGTGCCGCAAAGCAAGTAGCCTACATTATAAGTGGTATTTTTTTCTTAAATTGTAACTCAAGTAACCAAGTTGATTACAGGAGAGCTAAAAAGAATTACATCAATTGGAAGTACCTGGAATAACAATAAATAAAATAAAGCATTTCATGCTCATTGAGTAACTAGGAATATATTATCAGGCAACTCAAACATTGGATTACAAATATATATTTTAGAATACTATAGAGTGTAATGTTATGATAATGTTAAAAATTTTAATATAAATTAGTGACATTCAGAGATGTAAACATTATATGAAGTTTATCATTGTCAAAGTTTTCCTTTAGTATTTGATCATTAACTACATTTTTATATAAGAAATGTATTTGTAAACTAAAAGACTTTGTCAATAACAACATTAAACAGGTGTAAATAGATAAATTTGCAGATAAATATTTGATAATCTAACTCAATTGAGTCTCTCAATCTCAACTAAGAGCGTTATTGGTTCTATGTAATGTTTAGAAAAGTGACTGAATTTAAGTCAAATAGTTATTAAATGTTCATGATTTTCCCAAACAGTTGAACTTCTCAAAACTTTAATTATATTTGCCCAGAGTGCCAATAGTTACTCCATTCATTCTGAGACATGAGACGTGTATTCAATGTTTGGAAATATCCTATAATTTGTTCTAAATTTTATTTATGTATAATGTAAATGAGCATCAACTCTCTTTATCATGAATCTATATTAATAATATCAAATACACATATACAATGAATTTAAAAAATAAGTGTGAAGCTACACAAGTTGTAGAAAATTTGAAAAAAAGAAAGAAAAAAAAAAAAAGATCCATTCCTCAATTCTTTCATAAGCCTAGAGAAACAGTTCCAGTATGTTTCAGTTGAGCCGCTTAGAATACTTGATGTTACAATTGAAAGCAATTTATAATAGGAAGGACAACGACCTAATTCTTATAAATCATAACAGAATTGCTGTTAAAAAAAGCTGAGGTTTACTGTATTCTTGTGTTAAATATTTGCTTAATTATCTATGAAAGATTAGTAAAATACTAAACATTTTTTGCAGGATTTTAGGAGATTTGCCAAACACATATGCTTTCACAAAGGCCTTGGGAGAAGGTTTGGTAAATGAACAGATGAATAAACTGCCTATTATGATTCTTCGTCCATCAGTAGGTAAGTTATCATCCCTGAAATTATGTTCTAACACATTTATGCCACAACATATCGGTGTTTTCATTTACATATAATAAACATGGGTGTATATTTATTTACCAGTTTACCCCTTTTAATCAGATACAATATACAAAGCTCATTGCTCAATGATTGGACTCTCCAGATTAAATTGTATGTTTCTAACAAAGGCAGATCCAGAGAAGGGCATGGGAGCATCCTCCCTCCTTCAACCAACAATTTTTGAAATTTGACTCGATGTACTTAGAAAATTCCATAAATTGAATGCCAAATTCCATAAATTGAATGCCATCATATTCAAAGGAGTATTTACATTATCAATTCACTCCAATTTCTGAATAACATTGCAATCAAAGCCTTAATTTAAAAATTTCTCAGGAATTTATAATTTTGAAGAATATTTTATAATATTTTTATAAATAGTGTTCATTCCGATTTTTAAAATTCTTCATCTTCTTCTTGCAATTATTTTACAGCTCTTGCAGCCATCTCTAGCATCCCATTTTCCATACCCCTCTACCATTCCAAGTATTCTCTTTAAGACCTCTTCTTCACACATCTTTAAAAACCTGATTCTGCCTTTCCTTTCAGAGTTTATCTCTTTTGCTTCTGTATAAGGGAAATTACTCGCAGACTTTCTTGGGTCTGTCACTCTCAAACCTTTCTCAAGCTTTTTAGGTGACCAAACCATTTCAGCCTTCATATTTTTAATTTAATTTTTAATTTATCTATAATTGGTTTTTGAACCATCATTCGCGTTTTTAAAAGTTAACTTCAGAATAATTTTCTTCATCCATTGTTTCAAGTCCTTCCATGACCTAGTAGATTCAGAGGTTTATATTATCTTGCTCAATTTTACTCTAAGTTGATTTCTCAATATTGTTGTGTTTGTTTGGCTTTTTAATGATTCCTTGAATCATTCTAAATTTTTAGAAAGGACTGAAAAAATATGTTGGTAAGTCTGGAAAAGAATTCTAGAAGCTGTTCAAATAATCCATCGTTCTGTTGTTAAAGTAAAGCAGGAGTAGAAGCAGCTTTCAGTGAGTGACTGATATCAGTGTTTGCATCAATACCCTCTTCCACATTCTAATCCTGCTCTTATTTCTTGGGGTAAACTATGAGCAGATCACCTACTCACACTAATTATTGTATTAATGATCATATTCTCAAAGGTATTTGAAGGTCCTAATGCTGATTTCCTCAGTTGGCTCATATCATTCCACTGGGATTCTGGGTTCTTATAGTAATAAAAACAGCAATAGTAGTGACAACTGACAAAATAGTAATAGTGACAAATGTAGTAATATAACTGGCATTTTTAGCTGAATTGCTTACCTACACCCAGTGAATTCATGGAAGTTAACCAATTCAAGACACCATTGAGGTGGGTGGGAGACTAGGTGGGAGACTGTCTGGGAACACCTGTTACTAACTGTGCTGAGTCCCTAGCCGATGGGATAAAAGGCACTGAGTGAATGGGACATGATGAGACTTGACAAAGAAAAAGTCTTAATGGAGGATTACTCCTGGTCCTCAATGCCCAAGAAGGATTTAGAGATGCATTGTGTCAATGAAGACACAACAACTTTTTAAAAAAATAATTAATAATAATAAAATTTAAAAAACCAGGAGTGATTTTTCTGAATTATTAATAATTACTGAGATTGTCTTAAATTATTTTCTCTGTCTATTCTTTGTCTTTACTCAGTGTAAAATGTTATTAACTTCATACATCTTTTTTTCTTTTTTAACTTTTATAATCTGTAATAAATCTGTAATAAATCTGTAATAACTGTTTTAAATTTGTAATCTGTGGTGTCTTAGTCATTCCAATATGGAAGGATCCTTTACCTGGATGGACTGATAACATCAATGGACCAACTGGATTGCTGATTGGTGCTGGGAAGGGAGTAATTAGAACAATGTATTGCAATCAAAAAGGTTATGCTGATTTCTTACCTGTCGATATTGCAGTGAATGCCATAATGATTTGTGCATGGAATTTTATTTGTTGTGGGTAAGTAAATAATATTAAGCAAAAAATATGCAATATTGAAAGTTACAAATGAATTGTTTACCCATGATATATCCCAAGTTAAACACAATATTTTCAAAAAAATAAATGTGGTAATTGTTATTTGTAGTGAAGTTAATAAATGTTGTGAAGTTAATAAATAACTGAAACAGCTAAAACATTTGAATTAATTGGAAGTTTCTAATTAAATATTATGTTTTCCATTAAAAATATGCTTCTTTAATGAATTAAAACAAATATTTTAGAGAATATTTATGCTCTTGAAAAGCTATTTTTAAGACACATAAAGAATAATTTATTAATAAACTTATTACCTTGATTTATCAGAAATAAGAGCAATGCAACAGGATACAAAATTATTCATTATTTATGCACAGGTGGGAATATGTTGTAAACTCTTAAAATTTCCTTGTAATCTTATGCATTATGATTTCTTGCTTTTTAGAGATCGGGAACATAATGTAATCCACTTGACATCTAGCTCTGAATATCAAGTGTCATGGTCAGACATCATTGAAATTGGAAGAAAAGTTACTGAGCGCATACCACTCAATAACGTGGTGTGGTATCCAGGCGGAAGTATGAAGACTTCAAAACTGTATCATTATATCTGTGTCCTGTTCTTCCACTTAATACCAGCTATATTTTTGGATATGATCATATTTTTAGCAGGTCACAAGCCAATGTATGTTTCTTTTTTTGCCTACCATCATTATAAATTTATTATTCATAATTAAATAATTCTTGCATTATTAATTAAATTAATTTAACTAGTAATATATTAAGAAATAAATAATTAAATGATTATGCTGTGAAGATTAAACCCATTGTATGCCACTTATCATATTGAGTTTATTTGGCATTATGTCTTCAATTATTTTTTTCTTTAACGTATTTTGTCACAATACAATATTTATTATCAACCCTGGAAGATTCAACAAATTGAAAACATAGTTAATCAAGCTAAATGTTCAGATTATCAAATTGTTTGATTGTTTGTTGTTTTTATGAGTTAAATTCAATATGATGTAAATATAAGATGATACATCTGAACAAAATTCAATTGAGGCAAAAATATTCTTTTGTAAATTCTTAACTTCTTCTTAACACATAAAGTAATTTATTTTTGCTTGCTTCAGTGAATATCAATTATATTGATACATCAATATCAGTAATATTCAGACCTTCTGCCCTCTACTGAAGGTTAATTTTTAAAGTACTAATATATTTTAATAATATATTTTACAATTATAATAATAAGACTAATTATTTGAATGCATTCTTTCTTTGTGTAAAATTGGTGTTATAAGTACTACATTTAAAATATTTACATTAATTTTCTTATGTATCTAGCTTGTGGAGAGTTCATCGACGTATACTGAAGGGGTTTGAAGTATTTGAATATTATGCAAACAATCAATGGGATTTCAAAAATGATCTTGTTGTTGATATACGCAAATGTCTAAATGCAAGAGAAAGATCGGAATTTATTATAGACGGTGATGACATGGACTTAGAACAATACTTTGAAGATTGTGTGAAAGCTGCTAGAGTTTACATACTCAAAGAAATGCCTGAAACACTTCCTGGAGCACGCAGACATTTAAAAATGTGAGTTTTTTTAATTATCACTCCTTGACATACAAACGTATTATTATCTAAAATACATAGTTGTTTAAGGTAAAATATTGTTAATAACAATTTAAGTTATAACAGAGATAAAATAAAATATTAATTTGCATCAACTTTGAATTTTAATTAATTCAACACACAAGCAGTCTTGAAAATTCTTCATTTTCAGCTATATTTATTATATATTCTTGTTTAGAGATAATATACAAATGAGAAAATGTCCTTTGATTATTATATTAAATTTTTTATAATTCATAACAATAATATAGATGACATAAAACATAATTTAAAGCACATTATTTTTTATGTACAGAATGTACTGGGTGGATGTCATTACCAAGATAGTACTGGGATCGCTTCTCTTGTGGACTCTCTGGAATCGTGCTGATGCCATTATTGGTGGCTTCTTGCGAGTGGTAAACTTCATGGTGTGGCTAGTCACAGGAATTTTTGGTCTGCTGAGTGGGTCACTTATGTCTAGTGCAATCTCAACTCCTCCTTCAGGTGCACTAGAATCATGATATTAAATGTTGATATTAGAGTTGTGAAGATTCACTCTCATAAATTGTGTTTCACTTTCAGTTCAAACAATAATTAAACTGAAAATAATTTTTATTTGTTATGAGGTGCATTTGGTTGTTGCATAGTTTCAATACAAAGATGTGATTATTTCAAATTTTCTGATAAAAATGGAACTTGAGTGATTAATCTACAAAATGTGTAGAATAATTACTTGCAGAATGCAAAGTAAACTTACATCAGATTAGAAAATAGAAAGAATTACTTCACTTATTAAGTGTATTACAAAAATACATTCATACTAGTTATATTTTTATAATCATTGTTATATGTAGTTCATATTATATGATTTTCATCAAGAGTTAGATTTTTCCTTTACTCAGTGTGACAAGAAGCATGTATTACAATGCTTTATTCTGTGATATGTTTATTTCCCCATTTTTGCATTAAACAACAAAGTCTTTCACACATTATTTCCATTGAAAAAAAATTGTTAAATATTACTCTCTACTGTTAATAGAATACATTCAATATTTGGGCTTGTTTCCAGCAAATTCATCAACTTGTTACCACAAATTATTCTTTAAAATATATGGTTACAATAATTATACTACAATTCGCTTGACTTATACCTGTATATTTCATTATATATTTTTACATAAAAGTGACGAATAAATTGTTCCTCTTAGTAACATTGAATATGCTCAGAACAGAGCATTCTTTTGTATATAGGTGGGAATTGTAGACAAAATAGTACTTGTAATTCTAATAGCAATCTTCTTCATGGCAATGTGTTTTCAGAGTTTACATTTTTTTTCAGTAATTTAACTCTTCTGTCAAATTGTTTTGTAATTTTAAATGTGGCCTATCTGACATGATTAGGTGACTCTTATAAAAAAATTAAAAACAGCTCAAATACATATTAGTTTCAAATCTTTGTTCAAAATCACAGAACAAACAATAATTTAATTTATTTGGATGTGTCATATCATTTTATTGAACGCTAATATATTCCAACATATGTTTTTAAGTTGTAGACTAGATGTTTCAAAGAGGGTTTTACAGACATTATTAGTTTTACTATTTAATTTCAATTTTAAAAGAAATATTCTTCTACACATTCTTTACAAATATTACCACCCATAAACATTATTGTAGTCAATTGTTACATAATATATTCAATTTCATGTGCATTTTTTTTCAAAAGTGTTATTATATAACTTGCCAATATTTTTTACTGTCATGTATTTCATTTTCATGTACAAAAAATACATTATAAAATAATCTCAGATATTTTTGTTTTACCATTTCTTTCATATTCATTTCTTCCTGTTCAATTTTCTGCTGAAAATTAAAACATGTTCCTTGGTACACTGACCACACAGAAAAATATTGTAACTGCCATAATAATTCATGTGACAATGCAATGTATGAAATTAATGATTAATTTGCATACCATTGAAAACAAATGATGGTATTTTCATTCCAAAATTGGAGTATGGGAGCCAAAGGCAAACCAAACTTTGTTTACAAATAGATATTTCCTAGAAACGGTTGGCCTCTTCAGAACATTTGGAATCTGCACAACCTAGAACAGGAAATGATTTAGACTATCAATTAGTATATGTTATTAACCTGTATTAAAATATAAAGTATAAATTCTCTACCTCTTGGCTAACTTGGTATACGCAGCATAAAAAGAAAGATGACTTTTATACATATTCTTAAAAAGTAGGTCTATTATAAAATAAAATATTACAAATTTTTACTTTCTTGCACTTAAGATGGAACTTAAGTAGAGAAAGTCATGTAATGTTGCGCGAAAAAACAATGAATTTTCGGCAAAAAGAAAAGGGAAAAAAAAACAACTAAATTTAGAAAAAAAATATTCCAAAACGTGGTGTAGCCAGAATCCATTTTTTGTGGATCTTTGATGCAGAAAAGTCGATTGACGGCAAGATGTCTCTCTGTCAGTCAGTGAACAACGCTAACGGCTAAACCACATTTTTAAACAATTGTTTTTTCTAAAAACCCGCTCCATTGTTTTTGATGAAATTTTGTTGTTGAATATTCTGAAGGATGTATAAGAAAATGGCGCAGGCTCATGTTGGTTAAAAATCCAAATTTTTCGAAAATTGAAAAATTCAAAAGTTTTTCGGTGCATTCCTCAATTACAATCATGAATATACATCTTTTCTTAAGCAAATGTGTTCATCAAAAACATCTTCAAATAAGGTTATGTTGAATTTTTCGAAAATATGAGTATTTTTTGAGTAATTGGGCGTCAAATTTTGTTGCCGGCTCCTAGTATCCTGCGCGTCGTGATCGTTTTTTAAGTGTTTTGAGGCAATTAGAGATTTGATGCTACATAAGTTAGAATGTGTATATTATTTCACATTTCTTTTTCGTTTCTTACATTGGAGCTTTTGTTATAAGTTAACTAATTATTTTTTTAGAAATTAGATTATTTAAAACCTATTTGAAATAAATATGAAATAAAGATTGCTAGCCTTCAGTCGCCCGGTCCCAATTTACGCAGTTGGATGCTACGTAAGTTAGAATTCGTATTTTATATCATTTTATTGTTATTTATTATATTCATATTATAATTAAGTTATTTCGTTTTAATTTGCCTCCTTTAACTGCGTTACATACGAAAACGAATAGATGAGCGGTTATTGTTGCTTGTTCAAACCATAAGGAGGATTAACAGAATATATATATATATATATATATATATATATATATATATAATATATATATATATATATATATATATATAATATATATATATATATATATTATATTATAGACACACCCACAACCACACAGCACACAGCACACACACACACACACACACACACACACACACCACACACACAACAACCTCACACTCACACTCACACTCACACTCACACTCACACTCACACTCACACTCACACTCACACTCACACACATATACTCTATGGTTCAAAAGCATTCTTGTAGCGTCGCATTGATAACAGAAGGCGATAATATAAACCTTTATATTATGCCTTTCATTCGCGATAATATAAACAAATACATTATATATTTGGTGAATATTACAATACTATAGTGTTTAATAATTACTATTAATATATATTTTTTGATCTATTTTCATTTGATTGCCAACGCTATCAGTATCGTATTATTTATTATCTTTTAATTATTTTACTTTCTGCCATATCGCTTACGAATTTATGTATATTTCGCGCTTTCGCCAGAATTGTTCAAATGGTAGTTCAATCGTCTGATAGAAATTGTCATATTACATGACCATCCACAATATCGCGATAAAGTACGTGTTGTTGGAGCGCCACTAGTTGTTTATGAATGTATGTGAAATTCGGCCAGGATTTAACTTCTTGTGAGTCTGGTGTTCCCATTTAAAGCTCTGGAGACTAGTCGTTTGTCCTACTCAGATTATAGTAATATCTCTCATCAAAGCGAACATTACCAAAACCTGACAGTGTTCCCTGTTTTCCTGTTAAAATGATGAATATTTTGTGAGGTCAGCAACCCAACTCTGTAGCATTCTATAGTTCTTCACAATACAAAAGTGAACTGATCTCCTTATACTCATCTTTATAACATCCTCAAATTATAGAAAGGTTGTTTAAAATAGCAACATTGAATTATTTGATTCATGAAAGAAAATTGAAAGAAAGAGCAGAAGTAAAGCATTATAAATGCATATTTCTTTCATCAAGTACTTCAACAAACTCTTTCTTTTCACTTCTATTAGTACACTTGGTAAAAGCCTCAGATAAATGACCACACAAAGCTGATGTATTTGTTGTACAATTAGCTCAGAGACTCAGACAGATGCAATCTCTTGGATGACTTCCTAGATCAAGCTACTGAGGCCACAGATTGCATTACCAGTTGTTGATTCAAACAAATGGAATGGAAGTTCAGAGGTCTGGTTCGGAATGTTAAAGTACTCGCAATCTTCATGGAACCAGAAGACAATGCACATATCTTTTAAATTTCTCATACAAAACTATTTCTTTAAATTAGAATGAGCTTGGGGCAAAATTCTGTATGATGAAGAGTAAGAGAATTTTTGTGAAAGCTAAGTAGATTATTGTGACATCTGACCCCCCTTGCCTAGTCTGTATACCACCCCTGAAAACTTAGTAAATTGATTTTTTTATTACCTACCAAACATGTCCATACTTCAAAACACCTTAAAAAATTGAGATACATAATTGGATAAACCATTGTATGAACATATATAATACAAAAATTTACAAATTTACAAGGAATTGATTACATCAATGCAAATTAATTAAACCTGATGCAAAAGTGTTAAATGGAAAGATTCAAAATGCCTAATAAGAAAAATCTAAAATAATGAGAAAATATTCAAATAATAGACTAAAGCCCAAATATGTCCAATTTATGCAAAAGGGGACAGATTAAAATACAGTAACATCAAAGGTAACTTCCATTTTTAACTTAAGAAGATATTAGGTGCTGTAGTAAATAATGGATTATTGCAAGCAGAAAGCATAATAGGAGAGCAATATATATATGAAAATGGACTTAGATTCAGAAGCTATAACTAATAAATAAACTGCAGATTTTTGCCTATTTTTTCCTTTCAATGGAACACATTTATATTCAAAGAACGCTTAAAAGAATGGCACAAGTCTCAATTTTGTTGACATCACTAATTTTTCAAAAAATTACAAAAGTTCAAACTTTTTCTAGTGCTTCCTACAACTACAATATTGAAGATAGAGATGTTTTCCTTAGTACAATCAGTCCTTTAAAGGCAGATCTTGAAAGAAGGTCAGGTACAATTTTTTCGAAAATGTAAATAGTTTTTATGTAATATTTCATGAAAGATTCATTTATTTATTTAGTACTAGGCAATCACCCAATTTTTACAAAGAATATACAATTTACATTACACATAGATGTAGATTATAAAAAATAAAGAATTTGTTGATAATGACACATAATCAATACAAATCATTTAACAATAAATTTCACATTATATTTTTTAAAGTATGAAGAGATGAGAACATGTCAATATCATTAAAATTTGCCAATCGGCACATTTCTTACATCAATGAAAAATAATAATAGTTGGAAAGAGTAAACAGAGCATTAAACAAAATGCTCATATTTGATTGCAAGTCATGTGCAAGGTGTTTCATGGAATTACATGGTATAAATAATGTAAATTGATATTATAATTAATCAAGTTGTAAAGGACTTCATAAGAACAAAAAGAGCTCAAGTTCATTAATGTAGCAACATGAGTGTAATCATGACTAAACTTAGGAGATGGTAAATTCAGCCTATAGGCAATGTAATGGAGGAATTTATGCTGAATAGTTTCCAGCTCAGTAATGTATATGCGATAAAAGCGTGACTAAACGTGAGAAGAATAATGCAATATACATCTTATAAGTAAATATAAAGCATTTTCAAGGTTTGTAATTATCAAAATCAGAGTTAGGCACTTCACAAATACTACCATTCTATTTGATTTATTTACTATTGATTCAAAGTGCAAGTTAAAAGTCAGTTTTGGATCAAATTTCACATCCAAATCATCTAATTGTGAAACTGTTTCTAATACAATATTATCTATATTCTATAACTAAGAAAAATTGGATGCCTTGATCTAGAAATTGATATTACTTTACATTTGTCAAATGGCAGTTCAAGGTGTTTTGCAGCACACCATTTAAATAATAAGTCGAGATAAAATTGAGGTTTATAACAATCATGTATAGAATCAATAATACAATACAACTAGAAATCTTTGGCATAAAATAGAAAAAAATAATTTTGAAATACTCTATTTAAATAATTTACATAAACCAAGAAAAATAAAGTTCCAAGGTATGTGCCTTGTGGAATACTAGAAGTAATATAAATATCCCTTGACATTTAGGATTTATATTCCGCATTTTGAGTATTTAGTAAACCAGTCAAATCATTTCAAGAGGGAACCATTACGGCCAATATCATTTAATGTATCAAGTAGTATATGATGGTTAACAATTCAAAAGCCTTAGAAAAGTCACTTCATTATTCAGTTCCAAATTTTCAAGAAGATAGTGTAAAATTCTCAATAAATTATGAACCATGGATCTCATTTTCCTCAAACAAAATTGTTCCTCAAGAAGAAATGGGTTAAAGGATTCTGTTAATGTTGTGGTAATAAAGGCCTCCAGTAATTTGACTAAGATACACATCTTAAAGATGGCCTACAGTTTTCATTATTGGAATGATTGTCTCTCTTTAAAAT